ACAGTCATGGATTCCTCCCCCACACACACACACACACACACACACACACACACACACACACACACAGTGAATAACTAGAGCCTGATGTGTTTTCTGTTCGAAACGATGAAAGAATGTGCACTAGCAGACAGCTGTGTGAGATACAGACAGAAATATGCTGAGTAAAGACGCATCCTCCTGTCTGCATGTAAAAATGACAGAAAACAGGCCACCGCGCACACACACGTCTAAACGGAAACACCTTCAAACATTTAAGTTAAAGACTTTTTTTTGTTCATATACTCATACAAAATCAGACCCCCTGCAAAACAAACACACACACACAATGCAACAGGAACAATAATTCCTTCCACAATTCAAGAAGTGGGTGGGTGTTTGGTGGGGAATCCCATACCAGATTCCTCATCACTGATGGCTGGGTGTGAACCGGGACACCCTGTCACTCACGGTCCTAAAATAACTATATTTCAGCTGTTTTAACACACACACAGACTCAGACACGCGCACACAGACGCGCGCACACACACACACACACACACACAATCACACACACTCATTGTCCACAGCTCAACAGTTCTATCACAGATGCTCAAACACAACAGCCACATCACACACACACACACACACAGTCCACAGCTCAACAGTTCTGTCACAGATGCTCAAACACAACAGCCACATCACACACACACACACACCTGTGCAAGGGTAGCTGAGACACCAATTGGTGTGAATTGTTTCAAATACAACTATTTAAACGATTTCCTAATTCTTTAAATTTTTTATTCATGCAAAGAATTATGCATGTAATTTTAAGGTAAAAATGTCAAAAACACAACAAAATCATTCATATTAACTGAAATTAAAATGAAAACAGAAAATATGAAAAAAAATCTCAATGGTAAAATAGCCCGACTGCATGCAATTTGTAAGGTCTCATTAATTGAGAGCAGGGTTACTTGGGGGGAAAAAAAAAAAAGTTACTTGGGGAAAAATATATATATATATATATTTTAGCTAGTTGCCAAAGCAACATTTCTCAAAAAAAAATGTGAAAAAAAAGAAAAACTGTAGACATTTAAAACACAACAAAATCACTAAATTGTGACTAGATTGTTGTAAATCTTGTGTTACTAAAATAAAACTGATTCAGATACCACATATAATCCATTTTGAATAATTTATGGTTCATTTAAATAGTGCAGTGCGACAAGTAAAATATTAAAAAGTACAAACTACAAATTATGCATTGCAAAAAAAACATAATAATAAATTTAAAACTCCAAATATTCCAAATAGTAAAGATCATAATATTGAGAAAAATCCATGTTATTATTGGTCAACAAACCTAATATTGCAGTGAATATTTTAACATTCATTACAGGTGTCTGACACCTGTTGGAGAACACACACACACACACACACACACACACACACAGAGAGAGAGAGAGAGAGAGAGAGAGAGAGAGACAGATGACCTCAAAGGTCCCCAAAAAAAATCAAGCTTTTCATCACATCAAATCTTAAAAAGCAATGTTTACAGTGCATTCAAGCGTTTCATCAGTTTATGCATTCCCTGGGAATCGAACCCATGACCCTGAGCTGCTATCATCAAACTCTACTGTTTAAGCTACAGGAGTACACAGGAACAGGTTAAAGATCCTCCTACCACAGTAACTCAGCGCTGTTGAAATCAGGCATGTGACATGAGCGGAGACGATCAGAGAGCTGCAGACCTGTCATAACACGCTTCAGCTGATCACAACATCAGCCAAAACTGAGGAACATTCATGCCCGTTCACATCCACAGTGACCACAGAAAGCATCTGCAGCACTTCAAAATGTCTGAATGTCATTCATGAGATCACAAAATATCAAAGCAAAGTTCTGAGCTCAACTAATGGCACTCGTCTGAAGTATTTGGCAATGAATTTTAAGTAACTGCTGTCAAAGTATTTCAGCAGACACTAGAAAATGTCTAAATGTCACTGCATTAGATAATAAAATACAAGTGACATTTATTGTAAACACAAGCACTTTTACAAGCAAAGCACTCAGCAAACAGTTTTGCATGGTTTGAAATATAAAATAATAGTTCTGGTGTTAAATGCAATGAATGCAAAAAGCCACATTGTGCTTGTTTGTGGTTAAACATGCAGCTAACATGGAAATGGTCAGACCTAGCTTTACGTTCTTTAGCTGTTCTTTAATAATGTTCTCATAACATTAGCACAAAAACGTCTGTACCCGGAATGTTTTTTCTGAAACATTTTAGTTTAATGTTTATGTAACGTTTGTCAAATGTTACTAATTGTATAATGTTCAAAGAACATTCAAAAGAAACATTCCCATAATACTTTCAAAATGATACAATGGAATGTTCCCTTTACGTACGCACAACCAAGAAAAAAAAAAAGGTTTTAAACATGCATCATTAAAAACAATACATCATTCATGGAATGTTTTTTCTGAAGCATTTTAGTTGAACGTTCATCTAACATTATTTAAGCGTTGCTACTTGTGAATGTTCACTGATCATATTAAAACATTCTCATAATGTTTGCAAAATGATCAAATGGAACGTTCACTTAAAGCTCGCACAACCGAGATAAAAAAAAAACAAAAAAACATTAATCGTTAAAAATGTTTAAAACAAGTAACATTCCCATGATGTTTGCAAAATTTGACTTTTGCATAAACAAACAAACAAACAAAAAAGGTTTTAAAACATTTAAAACACGACTTTTTCCAGAGAGAACATCCAGGAACAAAAATGTTCATAACTTAAAGGCAAAACGTTCTTAGACCACATATTGTTCTCTTGGTACTAGAACATGTCGATAGTTAATGTGATGAACTTCTACACCTGCTAGCTACAACACCTGTGTGAACTTGAGACTTCATGCACTAAAAAGTTGATTAATACGACAGCGAGCCCTCAACAAGGATGAAAAAGGAAGCATTTGAGGTCAGATGACACTCGCTTTGGCATTTCTAAGTGTCCTAAATTACTTTTGGGGTCACCGTATCTTCCAAACTCACCATTGCTGCGCTCCCTTTGCACTAAACACACGTTCGCACGGCTGCACTAATGGACAACACATCCAATAAGTGTTTTATCTAAGAGTTTCACATGTAATTTTTAATGGTGTTTACTCATATTTACAGTTCCAACACTAAGTATTAAACATACCACAGTGTATATGCTTCAGACATGAAAAATTCCTTTTTACTTAAGCCTAGCTAGCAACCACTGATTAATCGTTAAAAATGTTTAAAACAAGTAACATTCCCATGATGTTTGCAAAATTTGACTTTTGCATAAACAAACAAACAAACAAAAAAGGTTTTAAAACATTTAAAACACGACTTTTTCCAGAGAGAACATCCAGGAACAAAAATGTTCATAACTTAAAGGCAAAACGTTCTTAGACCACATATTGTTCTCTTGGTACTAGAACATGTCGATAGTTAATGTGATGAACTTCTACACCTGCTAGCTACAACACCTGTGTGAACTTGAGACTTCATGCACTAAAAAGTTGATTAATACGACAGCGAGCCCTCAACAAGGATGAAAAAGGAAGCATTTGAGGTCAGATGACACTCGCTTTGGCATTTCTAAGTGTCCTAAATTACTTTTGGGGTCACCGTATCTTCCAAACTCACCATTGCTGCGTGCGTTTGAAGCCCTCAGCGCTTTGGAGGACATCACCTGGGCCTGTGTGGCGTAATTCTCACCGCTCAGCGCCGCGATGAAGGAGCACACGAGCAGCCACATGATTTGGAACCGAACCTTCGTCCGCTGATGCGTGATCCAGAAGCGCCTCGTGGACCCAGAGTTTCCACCGCAGCGCAGCGCGTCCGCAGAGCCGGAGAACAGGTTCATATAAACCAAGCCGCGGAATCCAAAACCTCCGACTTTATCTGCTTCTGTCCCGTTTGACCCCGAGTTTATAATTCCACCAGAATACTTTCCATTCCTTGAACATTTACGCAAACCCGAGGACGCGAGAAAAGTGTCCTGGCAACAATAACGCGCGGGGTGCCGATGGATTCCCAGAGTTCACCCATCAAACTCCTGCTGAAAGATCGGGTTGCTGAGAGATGGAAGGAGAAAGAAAGGAAGCCCATGAGGGCTGGACCCCCTTCATCCAGTCAGGACGAGGAAATAACGCCCGTGGGAATGCTTTCCCTCGGTGCGTAACGCTGCCACTCTTTTCCTGTTTGTTTCGCCGCAAGGAAAGTTTTGAGTTTCCCTGAGGAGAAACAACAAACGTGGCGGCGTTACGCACGGGATTCAAGCTTTCAGCAAACTGCAGGCCATGACTTGAATTCAGCGTTCAAACTCTTTCTCAGTGAATTATAAGAGTGTTTATCAAGTCTAATGGGAAGAAATAGAATTTAATAAGTGCTTACTTAAGGGCTTCCTCATGAACAATTGCACCTTATCAGATGCGGACATTTCCGCTCTGGGATCTGAATTATTGGAAGTGTTTGCTATGGAATAAAAACTCACTAGTTACTGCACTGTATACTGCTGCCTACTATTTAAATAGTACGTGAAGATAAACGTTTCAAACAGCAGGAGGCTTGTCACATGACCTCATCACGTGTTTAATTTTAGCAAGCATTGTTCTGTTACAGTTTAAATGTAATATTTATTAAAAAGGGAAAACTATCAACTCAGAATTCACATGTTGGCCTGCAATGTTCTGTTACAGTTTGAGTATAATAATTTATTTAACAATATTTATTAAATATATCATCTGTGCACATGTTGGCCTGTAATTACAGTTTGAATGCAATATTTATTTACAAAAATTGTCATCTCAGAATTTGCGGTTGGCCTGCAATTTTCTGTTCAAGTTTGCAAGCAATATTTTTTATCATAATTAGATAAGGATTAGATTATTTAGCATTTTTAATTCTATGTTAAATTTCTTGATGTTAAAATTACAGTACTGCTCGTTTGTCACTGGAAATGGAAGGTCAAGTTGTGAGCGCAATGCATTGTGGGATATTATGTTTTATATTGCACATTTTCTTAGATGTCATTTGGGTTCTTAATGCATACAGATCTGCAATTTCTGAATTCGTAATAGTGATTTCCGAAGAGGACTTAAACAAAGCATATTATATGTAAACAATTAAAATGTGAATAACTTACAAATTTCAAGAATTTCGATGCACAAAATGCATTGCTTCTGTCATGTAAACATTCCCTCAAAGCATAAATTTCATGCAATTCAAACTTTTTTTACTAAATGGCAGCATTGACAATTAGATTAGAGACTATTAATTCATAAAGTGTCAGTGAGTAAACATTTAATCTAAATCTAAATACAGATTTCAGGAGAACACAAGAGATGAAATCATCCATAACACTGAGGGTAAACAGACTTGACTGTATGTGGCAGGTTCTCACATGTAGTTTGTGCCAAGTTTGGGGAAAACCCCGCAGAATTCAGGTCTAGGCCTGAGTGAGAGTAATAAAGCTGATCTGATCCAGACTGTGCCTGCTTTCCCGGCCCGGTCCAGTTCTGAGCTCAGGGTGTGTCACGATTTACCTCCTGAGGGACGCTGTGTGTGTGTGAGGTGTTGTGGGTAACCAGGACCAGTGTACATAGTGTTGACACAGAAACTCTAGTGTACATCCTGATGTTTATCTTTATGTCTTTGTATTTCTCTCTCTCACACACACACACACACTCTGAGTTTATCTAAATGTGTTTGTACAGGAAACAGCCTGTTTATATTCTCCCTTTGCACTAAACACACGTTCGCACGGCTGCACTAATGGACAACACATCCAATAAGTGTTTTATCTAAGAGTTTCACATGTAATTTTTAATGGTGTTTACTCATATTTACAGTTCCAACACTAAGTATTAAACATACCACAGTGTATATGCTTCAGACATGAAAAATTCCTTTTTACTTAAGCCTAGCTAGCAACCACTGAGAACACCTAGCAACCATTTTAGTAACTGCATAACAACATCCTAGCAACCATTAAACAATGCACTAAAAACCACTCAGAACGGCCTAGCAACAGAACATTTTAGTAACCACATAGCACACCTTAGCAACATCATAGCAACATCCTGGCAACCATTAAGCAAAGCACTGAAAACCGAAGAGAATACCCTAGAAACCAGAACATTTTAGTAACCGCATAGCAACACCCTAGCAACCATTAAGCAAGGCACTGAAAACCACTCAGAACACCCTAGCAACCAGAACATTTTAGTAACTGCATAGCAACACCTTAGCAGCACCCTAGCAACCATTAAGCAATGCACTGAAAACCCCTCAGAACGCCCTAGCAACCAGAATATTTTAGTAACCACATAGCAATGCATCTGAGAACACCTTAGCAACATCATAGCAACACACAAGCAACCAGAACATTTAGTAACCACATAGTAATGCACCTAAGAAAGCCTTAGAAACATCATAGCAACACCATGGCAACCACTAAGCAATGCACTGAAAACCACTCAGAATGCCCTAGAAACCAGAACATTTTAGTAACTACATAGCAGCACCTTAGCAACACCCTAGAAACCATTAACAATGCACTGAAAACCACTCAAAACACCCTAGCAACCAGAACATTTAGTAATCACATAGCAATGCACTTAAAAACAAATTAGCATCATCATAGCAATGCTCTGGCAACCATTAAGCAATGCACTAGCAACGCACCTAGGAACACCTTAGAAACATCATGGCAATATCCTAGTAACCTCTAAGGAATGCACCACTCAAGACCCTCAAGACACTCAAAACCACTCAGAACACCCTAGCAACCACCTTGCAACACAATAGGAGCCAATTTGAACACTTATGCAACATGCATGCTGTAATAACATTCAAAATTGCATAGCAACGCCCTAGCAACCATTAGCATTGTGGTGGAGAGACATGCATGCTCAAACACTTCTAATGTGTTTAAAATTGTTTCATAAAATAAAAAGGTTTAAAATCCAATTCTAACATCCTCTCCCTCTCTCTGTACTGTCTTGAAAGAGTTAACGCTCAGACAGTCTGGAATGATTCCTGGATTCCCGCAGCATTCCACCACATTCCACGGGATTCCTCAGCGGCGACATCATAATCAAAGAAGGCGGATGACAAAGATGCTCAGTGTGGCATTGAACAACTGAAAACTCCTAATTATTGTGACAAGATTTATACTTTAACGGATCGCCGTCAAAAACTGGTACCTCCTTTTTAGGTAAACCTGGTTGCCTTTGCTCATTCACCAAGAGGTCAGCCAAATCATATTGCTTTTGCATAATTGTTGTAATATCAACACCATCTGTCTCCTGATTCATAACTGCGGGATTTTGCTGTTGACTATAGGAGGCGGTAGGAGTATTACACGGGTGATTGCTTGCTGAGAACTGAGCAACAGACACCTTGGATGGGTGAGAAGTCAGATCCAAATTGTCTCCATCCTCTATTTGCGGCTTGTGAACAAATCTTTGCAAAGGGGTTTTAGGCACTGCCTCCAGATCCTTAAAGGTGAGTGGAGATAATGTTGCTCCAACTCTACTTAGTTCAGAAGATTTTGCTGTTAAATGCTGCTGCAAATAATCATTCATTCCATTTCCAGGCTTAAAAGCTTCACGGTGGCTTTGCATAGACTCCACGTTGGACTGTGTTTTATAATGCTCCAAGACTTTTAATTTTGCTTCCGTAGCAGCTAAATCCGTTTCAAGTTCCAGAGTGGAGTCTATGCAAAGCCATCGTGAAGCACTTTATGTAAATGGTACAAAAACCAACATCTTATTGAAATCTATTTGCCAGGAGAAACCAGTAAAGGCTTACAGGTTAACTGGTCTGGAGGTGGGCAGTCTTAATGGCAATAGCTGAATAGAATTGCCGGAAGTTTTCACTCAAAGTTCAATTCCAGTGAGTCAAGAAAACATACCGAAGAAGGATGACATTAGAAGATGGCCTTATTTGAATGATGTGCATCTAGACTCCATTGAGGCTGAGGTGTATCTCTTGATAGGAGTGAATGTTCCTAAGGCAATGGAGCCTCTCAAGGTCATTAACAGCCAAGAGGACGAACCTTATGCAGTTCAAACATGCTTGGAATGGCTCATTAATGGTCCTTTGAGCAGTAGCTCTACTACGTATGGTAGTCAATCATATATCACTTCTAACAGAATCTCGGTAGTCAGACTAGAGGGTTTGTTGATTGATCAATACAATCAAGAGTTCTCAGAATGGATATACAGTGAAAAGAATGAACTCTCATTTCAGGATAAGCAATTTTTGTCCATTGCAAATGATTCTATTAAGATGCAAGATGGTCATTATGAGTTACGACTCCCTTTTAAAAGAGATAATGTTAGCCTGCCGAATAATAGACAAGTCGCTGAGCAAATAATTCTTAGCCTTCTTAGAAGATTCAGGAAGGATGAATCATTCTTAAGAGATTACAAGGTCTTCATGAATGATATCCTAAAGAAGCGATATGCGGAAAAGGTGCCTGACAAGCAGCTTCACAGAAGGGATGGAAGATTGTGGTATATCCCACACTATGGGATCTATCATAAGAGGAAAGGAAAGATCCGTGTGGTCTTTGATTGTACTTCTACCTTTCAGGGGACCTCTTTGAATTCTGAGCTATTGCAAGGGCCAGACCTTATGAATACACTTCTGGGTGTACTTCTCAGATTCCGTCAGGATACTATGGTGGTCATGGCGGATATTGAGGGAATGTTCCATCAGGTCAAAGTACCAAAAGAGGACAGAGATTTCCTGAGATTTTTGTGGTGGCCTGATGGAAACACGAATTATCCGTTATCAGATTATAGAATGACTCTTCGGGGCCGTTTCATCGCCGAGTTGTGCTAACTTCGCTCTTAAAAGGATTGCTGTTGATAATGAAGGTAAAGCAAATGCTGAAGTGCTTAGTACAATTCGAAATCATTTTTATGTGGATGACTGCCTAAAATCTGTGCAGAATGAAAATTTGGCTGTGGATCTGGTACACGGACTTCGAACTACGTGTGCAACAGCTGGATTTAAGCTAACAAAATGGGTTAGCAGTAGTCGATCTGTTCTCGCTACTATTCCAGAGGAGGACCGAACCAAAGATATTGAGAAGGATAAATTGCCTATGGAAAGAGCGCTCGGCATACAATGGGACATGGAAACTGATGCTTTCTTCTTCAGAATCAGCCAGAACCCACATCATCTAATTAGCAGAAGAAACATCCTGTCAATAGTCAATTCGATTTATGACCCGTTTGGGATTTTAGCACCATTGACTCTTCCAGCTAAAAGAATAGTTCAGGAGTTGTGCCGAATGAATTTTGGGTGGGATGAAGAAATCCCTACTGGTCTTGCACATCAATGGAACAGCTGGTTGAGTGAGTTCATAAAGTTGTCAGACTTCAACATAGATAGATGTCTTAAACCTCAAGGGTTTGAAGAACCTTCAAGTGTACAGCTGCATCACTTTTGTGATGCTAGTGAGGTTGGTTATGGTACAGCCAGCAATCTTAGGCTCATCAACAAGGAAGGACGCACTCATACAGCGCTTGTGATGGGCAAGGCAAGGGTTGCTCCTTGCTGCCGCTGTTCTCGCAGTCCGTATTGACCGAATGCTGAAACAAGAACTTGAGCTGTCAACACTACATTCATTCTTCTGGACCGATTGTACTTCTGTACTTAAGTATATCAACAATGACAACAGAATGAC